AATTCTTTATTTGCAGCATGGACGTATTATGGTATGGCATAGACTATTGTGATTTCAAAGACATTTTGAGCAGTGTTTGCATTTTTCTGCAAAAAGGTCTTTTTGAAAATGCATCACCATTTCCACATGATAGATGAATGATACAACTCACAAACAGCTTAACTAATGGAAAACCGATACAGCATCTTTATCCTACCAAAATCTCAAATAGCTAGTGTCCTATTGAAACTTCACACTAGCCTTACTAGAAGTCATTTTCATGTTAAAGGTTTACCATAACTTTCACAACTATTTCTTCTGGGAGTCCAAAATAATGTTCAATTTTCATATTCTATTCTTATAATTGCTGTATCCATCTGGCTGTTTAACCTGAATTTTTGGAATTATGATGTGGCATGGACAGTGTGTAGTAAAAATATGTAGCTACAAAAATAATGTTCCATTGTTTAAAAACTGCTACTAATTTTTTTTCTCGAAGCACAGTAATTTATTTCTGTCTTTGAGAGACTTACTGAAACAGGCAACAACATATTCTTGGCTATATGTTTCTTGCGAGAGAATTGTTCCAATCCTTCGACTGTTGGCATCTGTTTTGAAAATAAAGGCATAGTCAGGTCATGGTTAAGATAATATAGGCAGGAATGTCAAGGCATCCTTCAGGGCTTTAAATGATTTTTTAAACTCATCAGTCCATCAGATGTTTTTGTTCTGCATTTGTTAAATCATGTAAAGCCCTAGCAATTTTAGAAAATCCTCCAATACATCTTCAACAATAAATGCTTAGAGTAAAAAAAATTTCTTAACTGATGAACGATACCAATCATAAACACCTTCAGTCAACGGAAAAATCAATATCAATTGAAATTTGAAAGGCAACAAGAAAATTCTAACAATGTAGGAAGGAACTTCATTTATCTTAAAGCAACAAAAGGATTTTAATCCACAGTAGCCAAATCGGAATTAAAAGGCTTATATTTTGTACTAAGAGCTGACTTTAATACTTTTATTTTCAACAGACTCTAGAAGAAAATAATGATTATTAAAGTAGCAGTAAAACAAAAAGAGAGACTAATATCTTTCAAGAAAAGAAATTTTCTTACTAGAAAGCTGCATAATAAACTTTTTGAAGAGATTTTAAATAAAACCAGCATAGGATATCAATATGTTATTAAGCTTTGAAAGATTGAAGTTTGATTGTGTATCAAGATTCTTTCCAAGAACCCCCAAATATTCTCCAAAAATAGAAAATAATGCTAAGAAAAATGTTATGAATGCAGAAATGGTTATCAGTAACACTGCAGAGTTTATATATGCATCATTAAAAACAAAACTGCTTTTCTATTATTGAAAAACAACAAATTGCATCTAAAAATAACACCCGGAAAATGAGAAAATTCAGGGCCGAAAATGATTTCAGAAGATGCAAGTCAAATAAAATGAGTGTCATAGTCATCACAGACAAAGAAGAACTAAAAAAAAAAAAAAAAAAAAAAAAAAAAAATCTACAAGGCATATCTAGGGGGAATGTGCTGTTGAAGATAGCACCAACAAATTATATAATACATTTTGCAGAATAACTGATTATTCCAACATAAAATACTATGCTATGTTGGAATAACATATTTTATGTTTCTTAAGCTTATCCAGATTGCAGCACACCAAAACTTTTCATATAAATCAAAACCCATAAAAACGATTATCCTGCAGATCTTTGCTTAATAGTAGATTTTTTTGCAAAAATCTGTTCCACTTTTATAAGGACAGCATATCAAGTGTGCTTTTTCCAAGTGAATTTCATGACAAATTCGAAAAGTAATCGGTCTCAACTTTACCATGTTTACTATTGAGATTAAATCTCTATTTTTATCCATCTCTTTGAGTCTCAAATGATTTTGGTAAAAACCTTGACTAAAAAACTAAAAGTTGCATCCAGATTTATTACTAATATCTATGAAGTCTTCCATTTCATCTGCAATTTTACAGTGTATAAACAGGTAAACCAGCAAACACCAAGGTCTCTAAGCAGCATCAATGTCATCCATTTTGGCTGAAATTTATATGAATAAAATTTTGTTTTCATTAAATTTCCCTAAAAACCTGTTTTTGAAAAGAGGTACAATGATATCTTTATCCTGTGGAAACCCTGAAAAGATGAATTCAAAGAACTGTTTTCATTTATCTTAGAAAACTTCCCTAACCCATAGTGTATGATTAATACAGAAGTTTATAATGGCATTCAATTTACTGATCTTAAGAATAGGTAATATTCTTTAGCCTGCAGTTGACTATAAGCCAACTAGCAATAATCCCATGCGATTCTTTTTCATTTCATCTTCATAAAACACCTGCTTTTTATTTTTATTTAAGATGAACCAAAACATTTTCTTTTAACTTTACCAAAACAAATATAAATACATCCAATAAATTGCAACAGATAAATGTTAGATACCCTTCCGATTTTGTTGAAAAACTTATCAAGAAAATCTATAGGCAAGCTTCTGCAGTTATTTCTAAAAAATAAAGTTGCCGCCTATGCAATATATTCATTGGAATCTCTTCTATCGTATTACTCTATACATCAATTCCATTTTCAAAAGATTTGGTTATAAATTTGACATAACCGCAGCAAAACTGTTAAGAACAGACAAATCAGATGCTATCACAACAGATACTTCAAATGTGCATCTTATCATGATTCGCTACAAAGACACAAACACAGAATTCAATACTTCAATTTAGCACGTAGAAAACTATCAATAAAAATTACCATATAAATAAGATATTTACAAACTCTCTGCCAACCAGTATATCAATGAAAATAAGCATATTTTAGTTAAATATGCCTTAACTCTTTTGCATCGAAGTCGCCCATAACGCCCGTCCATTCAGGCAACGGCAAACCGCCCCAACGCCTCGTTTATTTTCCACCTAGTGCTTTCCCCTTCCACGTTAGTGTATGGCTCATGGTTTTTGCGAGTGTTAAGGACATGTCAATCATTCTTTTGAAGCAATATAGGAGACATACGGAGAGCTATTGACGTCGCAGGTGCAATCTGGCTCTAAGGTGAAACTGCACACAAGGATAAAACGCCTGAAACCCCCCAGAGAGAAACATCATTCACGAAGTAGGTTATTGTAATGGGTAGCTATACCAGCAGGGGGAGGAAATTTTCCAAGACACGGGCGTTTTCAATGTTTGATGAAAACAGATCTGGTCGTCTCTCGATGCGAAAGAGTTAAACTATGTAAATTCAATAACTAAATGGAATAAAACCAAACTCGATAAACCCCAGCAAAAAAGCAGCCTTAAAATCAGATAAGCTCTAGAAACCTTTTCACTCTAACCATATTTCTGAATACCAATTTTGAGAAGTACAGCAATAAAAGAATAACTTGATCGAGCCATTTATTCCAACTTTAGGTGATGAAGTAGACGAGCCGTTTGTGAAAGCTCCCATTTTTATTTATGTATTAACTTAAATTTAATGTGTCAACCAAGAATATTTTATTTCATTTTTAACTTGATATGACAAGTTCCTGTTTGAAAATGTTTTTATCATTGATTTCCCATTTGCAGTAGATTACTGCATAATGCAATTGAAGTGCTTGATGCAGTATTTCACAACCCTTTTATTGTCAAAGTAAAAAAATGCTTTTTCTTGTTGGGCAGTTTTTTCCATTAATTGAAGCTGTTTATGATTGATATTGTTTATCAATTGAGAACTTTTCTTAGTCTATGCACTTATTACTGAAGAGTTGTTAAAGGATTTCTCAAATTACAAGACTATTGCATGGCTTTATAGATACAAGTTGCAACAGTTTTCTTGCAAGAAGCAGATAGCCAAGAATGTGCAGCCGCCTATTACAGCAAATGTCTGAAAAGACAGAAAGAAAATATTATGTCCAAAGGAAAAAAAATTATTATCAGTTTTTAAACAATAGAACATTTTTTATCATTACTTACAGCAGAACTGTTTGTCCATCCCTCAGCAGGGCTACTTATATGAGGCTGAGTTAGAGCCTGGTATCAATTCAGAGTCATGTCACTGCTTTAACACTGAACTTCTCATTTGGTAATTACTGCTTTGTAGTCGTTCGCATTGAGGAGAATTTCCTTTTAAGGTATTTATCACTATACTAATGAAATTTAATATGAATATACATTTATGAGAAAGAAATGTACTATTCAAACTATTTTATATGTGCATGTATAGAATGGGATGTCCATAATCCACGTTGTGATATCGAACTGAAAATCAATAATATGGGGTATGGTCCCCTCTCATAGCCAGGCAGGTCATGCAGCATGACGGCATACCAGACAGATGGCAGTTGAGGAGACCCTGTGGCAGTTAATCCCACTCCTACAGCAAGGCAGTTCTGAACTCTGAGATGGTTCTCTGACAGGGATGGCAATATGAAATTACCCTCCCAGAAGTGGCTTAGACATGCTCAATAGGGTTAAAGTCAGGAGATCGGTAGACCGTGGCCATACCTACCTACCTCGCAAAATTTAAGTGGACTGGGCTTTGCCCGATACTGGTAACCTTATAAAATTTATCCAACTCTTACAAGAAACGTGGCGAATGTTGTAAAGGAGTATGAGCGCACAAATCGCCGAAAACTCCTTGTGTGCTTATATACCCTTTAGAATCATAGCTCTGCAGACATGCAAGTGTATGCTTTGAATTCAACTCTGAATATTTCCATATTCTTCAGCAGCATAGTTAGTGCCTTTGGTTCAATATGTTTCATAAAAAGAAAACAATGCAAATTAACATTCTTTATTTAAATTAGAAATAATGTATTGCATTTTGTCTACATACAATAATAATCTATAATTTATATTGGTATTTATACAAATTATATGGTTTGAAAAAATAATTTTTTAATAAGTGCATAGCATGAATCTTTTTTTAATGGTTTATAGTTTGCATTTCTTTTTCTATTCCCTAAATTTTATGATGAGTTTCTTAATTTTTTTTATTTTATTCTTTCAGATTAATTTCAGAATGGATGATCTTTTAAAGAACAACTTCTTAAATTTACAAAATAAACAAAAAGATCATTTAAGAGTCTCTAATGTAAAACAAAGTGAAAATGACTTCAGCAAAGAATTAGCAAATATAAACATTTCTTCTCCAGTACCAGAAAATGGACCACCACCACCACCACCACCACCACCTCCTTCTCCTTCAGATAAAAACAAAAAACTTACCTCAACCTTCAATAATTTAGGCCAATACTGGATGGAAAAAAGATTGTAAAAACATTTAGTTTATCAGATTTATTACTAGAATGAAGTGAATAGCTTGTAATGAACAATATAGCTACTATGAATAAAATCCAGCATTCATTAAAACTCAAAATTCAGTATGTACTGCAATAACGTTTTCTTTTACATATTTATCAGAAAAAATAACCTCAAACATCACTTCATTTGAAATATGTATAAAAATTTATTATGGAAAAGAAACTTAGTATTTTCAAATGTGTTACTTTTATAGGTGACAGAATTTTATCATATCCCCCCCTTTGAGAAGAGGCCTAGAAGAAAGTGTAGCTACAACTTTTATTTTTTTTTTTTCAGAGTATGAAAGTAATACAGAATAAACAATTAATATTTCAAAATAATATGCATTGATAAAATTAGCATTCTGTGCATCCATTTCTGGTTTTCTTTGAATTAAAGTTTTAATAGTAATTTTATGGAATAACCATTCAAGCTGCATAATCCACATAAAAAATTTCTGGAGATTTATTGAAAGACTCTCATAAAACATAACCTTTTGCTTAGCCATAAGCGTATATTCTTTAAACTTTTTTTTTTTTTTTTTTTTTTGGAGGGGGCGAGGTAGGGGATAATTTAAATAATCTAGGTTGCCAAGGGACAATTAGGACATTAACTGTGAAGGAGGTTCATATTATTTCTGCTGTATGAAAGTGGTATTATTCTCATAGAAGATTTATGCTGAGATTTTGCAGGTATGGAACTGCAATTAGTCATAGCATGTGACTTGACATATTGGGCATTCATTAGGATGGACTTCATTCTTATGAGAAGTAGTCTGCTGTTAAATCTAACAGCACCACATCGAAGAATGCTTCTTCTTTATGTGGGATGTCGGGAGTGAATATATTTTTCTCATTTTGTTTTATGTTGTTCATGATGAATATGGTGACTTTTGCTGGGCATTGTCTGCATATTCTAAAACCTGAGTCTTTCTTTGAATCAATCTCTACATACTCTTTCAACCACAGAAACACTATCTCTACTCATCTGGCAATATCACAGAAAGAATTGCTGTTTTACAGACATAAACACATCCTTATCTATCCATAAAATGCTTATAAAAGTTTTAAGGCATGTGTATATATATATATTTTATATGAATTTATGGACTAATGAGTCTAAAACGTTAATAATTTTGTTTTGTAATTAAGACACAATAACATGCCGAATTGTTTTGTATTGCTACTTTATCGAAAACGGGGGAAAAGAAAAATAGTTGTAGCTTCATTCCTTCTAGTTTATTTATTTATTTATTTTTAAGTACAGCAATGTACATTATATATTTATTTGTAAGTAAAGTATCTCAATTCAAGGAATATTTGCTATCTTCTCCTTATAATGTACAGCATATGTGGGTGGATGCATAAGTCCTTAACATATGCCTAACTTTAAAAAAAAGTGTTTATTTATTTATTTATAGTATGCATCTCTTAGAGTGCTACATGTGTGAAAAATATGATTTCTAAAATTGATATTTTGATAACTATAACAAAAATATACATTTAGTTGCATATTTAAACAAATTAAATTTAAATTTTAACAAACACGTAAAAAGTAAATTAAGCCAAAAAAAAAAAAAAAAAAAAAAAAAAAACCCACAAATTTAAAGCAAAAAAAAAAAAAAAAAAAAAAAAAAAAAAAAAAAAAAAAAAATTAAAAAAATTATTTAAAAAAATGTGTAAACATATAAAAAGATTAATAGATTTAATTCTCGAACTAATCTACATTATCATTTAAATTCAGAAGCATAAGCAAATCAAGTGCAAAACCAATCCATGAAAATAAATTCACTAATTTAGCAAATTAAAATTAGTCCAAACAATTTTTTTAAAAAATGCAAAAGTGAATGGCTGTTGAGCAGGCAGGAGACAGACTTATCAAGGGGAAGTTGCCTCCAAACCTAACTCTCCAATCATTCAATTCATGTTTCGTCATTCATGCAGGCAAGGGTAAAAGTCAAAACCAAAAGTAAAAAGTGAAGAAGGTCAAAAAAAAAAAAAAAAAAAAAATCAATAAAGTGGTACCCTTAGAAATTAGCATTTAAGAATTAAAGTTTTAAAAGGAAAATACTAATGAAGTCTTTTGAAAAACAAGTAAAGTCAAGTATTAAATTAAACTTTTTTTTTAAAAAATTAAATTTTTAAAAAAATAATCTAGAAACTAATGAATTTTAGAAACCCTTGTCTACAGAAACCTCCCCGACACGAATATGCATATCAATAAAAAAACTAAAAAAGAACTAGACATAATCCAATATAAACTAATAAGAAACATAAAGAACTAATTCACAATTTTTAAAAAACAAATATACTTAAAAATATAATTTCATATCTAGAAAATACTTAAATACTACATAAAAAATTTTTAAAATACTTTTTAAGCAAGTAAATAGTAAGTTTTAAACTTACCTACTAAATGAGCGTTGGGGGTCTGCAAAAGTGTTTTTAAAGAGAAGTAACTTCAAATTAATTATATAGACGGCACTTATGTAGATAAAGTTGAGTGCCAAGCTGCTATCTTTGTTATATTAAAAATTTTTTGCAAACATTAATATTAAAAAATATAAAAATAAATCAAGAAAAAATAAAAATTAAAAATCCTAAAGGTGTGCAATTCAAGTTTTAATTTTAACGATAAATTATTTAGGGAGTTAAGCCAAGTGTGCTTGAAGTAAAATAGAGTTAAGTGGTATTGTGAATTAATAAATGTAAACTGTTTGTAATGTGAAATGTGTGTTCTGTTGAAAAATTGTGTAAATATTGCAAGGCAAATAATTAAAGTAATTAAGTAAAAATGAAATGTTTTAAAATTTAAGTTTTAAAGCAAAATTTAAAATGTCAAAAAATTTGAAAAGAAGTCCTTAAAAAATCTCTAAAAAAATTCCCAGTAATTTCCCAAAAATTCCTTAAAGAAGTTAAATTTAAAGAAAGAAAAAATTGAAAGTTCAATGAACTTGATTTTAACTGGTATATCAAAACTTAACTAAATACTGGCTAAAGTATGGAAAATTAGAAGAAGAAGATTAAAATCTTCACTCAATTCGGGCTATAATTGAGACTTTTGAAAAGAGTTTGGCCCTTTATAGTAAAAGGAAAGAATCCAGTATTGATTAAATATACATATTTACAAATTTATTTACAATAAAAATTTACAAATAATTTCTTTACTCTTCTTATCCTTCATTACCCTCCAGCTAAGGTTTAAGGTAATGTTATCATATCAAAAGAGCCAAAAAATTATAAAGTTAATGCCTGCCTTTTTAATATATAAATTAATAAATTTTGGTGGTACTTGTTTATCAACTTGAACATTAATTAGCTTTATTATTCTTCCTTTAAATCGTCTATTTCAGTACATATATTTTTTATTCTGATTATTGGCTATGAAAGTGTTTTCTATTAATTTCTAGAGATATTAGAGTTCCAATTAATTAGTTTAATAGTATGAAAATGGAATTCCTTTTATCATATAATTTAATTTTGCTGTGTTTAATAATTGCAGGTCTAGGTATTCAATAGTATCTTGATTCGTATTCGTTTTATTAAGTGTTAAACTATTTGGGTAAATTTTGAATTGCTCAAAAGTAGAATTATTATTGAAAGTTATAATATCATCTGTGTATCTAAAATATGAGCAAATAGCTTTAATTCATTTTATTTAAACTACTTGGAATTTATATTCAAAAGTAAAAAGAAATAGGTTACAAATTTGTGTAGAACTGTTTGCTCCCATAGGAATTCCTCTAACTTGCTGAAAGGTCTTATTATTGAATTTAATGTAGTAGTTATTAAATAATGCACATTTCAGATAATTATTCCATCTTTCAATACTAAGGATGTCAAGTATGTCAGGAAAAAGGTTGTGGGAGTTGCATTAAACTACTAAAAATTTCTTCTAATGGCAGAGAGAGAAATATAAAGGTTTTCAAAGTCATAGCAGTTAATGTTCTTGATTGTTAAACTTTTAAAACTGCTGAGAACTGGAGCATTATTATAAATAATCCAACTATAATTGTGTTGTTTGTTAACGAGTTGTTGGATTAAATTACAGATTTTTAAGTATTAATTGCAATATGTAATCTATATTCTTTTTATAATTATTTGTACCATTAGCAATAAATCTAAATTTGAGTGGTGATTTATGAAATTTTGAGAGAGCATATAGATTTGCTAATCTATTATAGCGAGATGGTTGTGAAATTTGCAGTTTTTTATGAAATGCATTTAGTTTTTTTGCAATAACATTTTCTTGTATATTGGTGAGTTTGTAAGTAATGGCATTATTTAGTTCAGTGTTAATTAATGAGACATAAAAAAAAATTCATATTATGCTAAAATTATTATTGGCTTTGTCAATTTTGGTGATTCTGAATATTAGTTTTAAATCCTGTAAAAGAGGAATGAGAATATTCCACTGTAAATTGCTATTAAATTCAATTTTTCGAATTCTTTGCTTGAATTCTTCTAATACTGCATGTTTTCCAAGCCATAAAGGTAGAATTTGGAATATTTTATTTGAAACTAGTTTTAACTATAAATTCGTCTATATTTTTTACGAAACTTTTAAAACTGTGAGGTTTGTTAATTTTTAGTACTGGTCTAAATTTGGTACCCTTTTCCATTAAAATTCTTAAATGCTGGTTTTGAACTATTGCTAAATTCCCTGTAATAATATGTTGATGAAATTTATCTATGAAATCTTTGTATTGAAGCTCTTTGCAGTATCAATGGGCTGCAGAAGCTAATTCATAGTGGTTAATTAGCAATTTACTAAGAGGTATTTGATACTTGAAAGCTGGTGAGATCTGTACTTTAGTAGTTGGAAAAAGTTGTTGACTTTTTCTGAAAATTTTGCTAAACTGAATATGATCATAGTTAAGATGAAGGAAATTGATTTTGCAGTAATATTTATTGTATTTGTTATTTGTAGAGAACTTATAATTGCAAAAGTCAATAATAAGGTCTCTGATAATATTGTGCCCTGTAAAATGCTGTTTTACAAATTTTATAAGTAATTTTAAGAAATTGTGCTTACAAGTTACAACCAAGTAATTATATTTTTAGTGAAATTTTCAATATTTTTAATGTTACTACACTGAAGCTGTACATTCAAACACAATAGCTGCAAATAATTTAAACTAATTTTACTCCTAAGAACATTTTATCCATGTAATAATAATATGAAAAGGATAAAAATTTGTTAATTTTTAATTATATTCTTTACATTCCTTTGAAATGGAAAGTTATATTCTTTTCCTATATCATAATGAAATTTATGAGTAAGTTGTAATAAATACACTTATTTAAATTTGAACCTACAAATAAATTTTAAATAACCTAAGACTAATTATTGTATTAAGTGGAACTTGATTATACGAAAGAAATTATCTGAGATGGCACATCCAATATAAATTTGAAGGAAAAATTACCTGCAATTCTTATCTAGTTTAAAATATAATATTTATTCAAATTTAAAATAATTTAAATGATATTTTTGATTAGACAAAATGCCAAGAGAGTTAATTAGTAAAAAAATATGATACAGAATAAAATTTCATTTCAATGTGTTATATTGCAAATTGTTAAATATATTTTAATTAAACTATATACTTTTATGGGCAAAAATATGGAACTTGAAAAAATAAAATTTATTAACAAAACTCTTTTATTTCAAGTGTATTTCAACTTTCATACTTTTTACTAATTTTTCTAATTCATATAGATGTGCATCATATATGTGAGGTACTAAATTTCTCATAGCTTCAGCTAGCTGAAATAAATAATCATCATTTCTCCCACTTGGTCCCTCTGAGTGAAGTATTTGCTTTGCAATTATATCCAGTGGAGCTGGACCTAAATAAAAAGGGTTGCTTGTATCTCCAATATATATTGTAATTTCAAATGGCTTTAATTCCTCATTATATGGATGGAATAATACTGTTTGCTGCTGATAACCATCCTTCTCTCTGAAGTCCAAGTATTTAATGACATCTAAAATATCATCCTCGGCTATTTTATAAGCAACTCCATAAACCTGGTCCTTCAAAGAAAATAACATTATTAGTAGTGCAAATATTCATATTGCACAAATGTTAAATGATACTGTGCAGGATAAAGAGAAATATCACTGTTTATAATAATTATTGTAAAGAAATTTTTGTAACTGCATTAAGTATGCATCAAGCTGATTTCTTTTGGCGAGCTAAATTATACTATTTACAATGTTAGTATTATAATTAATTCCATTGTCACAAATACAAAAGCAACGTGTAGCAAAAATAGAATGCAGTGACTTATAATAAAGTATGCAATGCAGAAGAGTGAATATCATTAAATCCATGATTTTCAATAATTAAGTAATGTTGAAATCATTAAAAACAAACAGAAGTCAAAAGCCTGGAACGAACAAGTGGCTAAGTATCTAAAGCCATGAAACATCAACAGATTGTCCAAGATGCTAATCTCTCCTATGTAGGGCTTTTTAATTAAGATTTGTCCGTTAAAAAAAAAAAAAAAAAAAAAAAAAAAAATGTCCTATTATTTATTATGAAAAAATTATGAAAATTACTCTTTATAACTCAATAAAATGGTATATGTTAATTTAAAAGAGAAAAAATTATATAATGGATATACATACTGAATCACCGAAGCATTAGAAATACAGACTTCATACATTAAGGTATTAAATCTATCAAATGCTGGAGGACAGACAAAGGAGCTGTAAAATATATCTACTTTTGTAGTAACTCGTGAACATCATCTTATATAAATTAACAAGTTTTAATCTAAATACTTGAGCATCTGCATGAAAACTTTGCTCATGTAACACTTTGTAACTAGCCTTTACTGGAAAACACAGAGTTCACATCCATTCCAAAATGTTATTGATAGTAACATAATGGGACATCTGTATTTTACATACATAAATAGGTACTTCTCTGTTCTTCTTCTACTTTATCTGTTTCTAGCGCAAATAAAAATTTTAGATATCAATTTTCAATTCTAATACATTTGTAATATTTATGTTAATTGTAATCACACTGTATAATTTTTATCAAATGAAATTATATTTGATATGAAATCTGAAATATATACCTCTGGATTTGATGACGGTACAATAGTAACAACTCTTCCAGGCTGAAAAAGAAGTAAATTTTTATTTCAGTATATGTTATGAAAATATTCATATACAAAAGATGAAATAATTGCTTCCACTTTAATTTGTCATTCATTAAATTCCTAAAAGTACAGCTTTTAGGATATACTCATACTAATATTGTATTTCTTTGATCTAAGGTACCATAAATTTTAAGATTAACTTTTTTATTTTTGTATTACAAAAGGGATACCAAGGAAGTCATCCTAAGAAAACCAAACAAAAATCAAATACTGAAATGTAACTTACAAATCTTTTTATAATATAGCCATTTAGTAACAACAATAGTTATCTGTGAGTGTGTTACTCATTGTGTCCATTTGAATCTGATACGAAGCTGTTAATATCTATAGTTAATACTATAATTTACTTCACAGTGAATTTCATTTTTATGAACCATATGTACCTTACTTATCACATAATACAGAATCTCCTTAATTGCTAATAACTTTGGCAGTACAATATAATTTGAATGACAAAAGTGTGTAGAAGCAAACAACTGGGCGGCATGTTTAAAATACAAGAAATTTTAGAAAAAACTGTGATTCTAGCATGCACCCTATTTTGTTAAACATTTATATGGCATGAAAGCACATTTTAGAATTGAAGAAATATGATTATATGCAAAGTCAACTTAAACGGTTCCAATTAAGGTTGATTCTTACTAATAACTAATGCAGGTACTGTCATACATAGTTTTTGCTTTAGTGTGATTCAAGAACAAATTTTTCAGATTAAATTTTAATTCAGAGTCTAAATTATACTGAAAAAAGGACCAAAAAAAACTAAATATATTTGAAAGCATCAAAAAAAAAAAAAAAAAAACTGAATGAGAAAAAAAGTTTTAATAATGCGGCCTAAAGATCTTCGAAGAATTACTGATAGAAAAGACTAATGAAACTCTGTTGGTGTGAATAGCTTCTAATTTGGGTTAAACACAGAGGTGGGGTGTGTATGACCACACTATATAGAACTGTGAAACTGCTTATAAGTTATACAGTACAAAGTCTTTAATCCGGACTCGTCGGGACTTCGGCGATTCCGGATTAGGGGTTTTTCCGGATTATAGGTCATCAATTTAAATCTGTTAAGATGGCATGCAGAAATTATGAAATTAAAAATATGAAAGCGTAATTTATGAAATAAAGAGCAATTATGATCTAAAGAGTATCAAAATTTACAAAACAAAAAAGCTTAGTATTTATTTGTTTACTTTTTTAAATATTTATTTGTTTAATTTCAATGTAAGTTGTTTAAGTTGCTTCATTTTATGTGCTAATACTTTCTCTTTAATTCTATAAACAGACATAATTTCTTGTTCAGTTAGCTAGTTTTCTCAAAGTTCCGCTGTTCAAGTCCTGTAATTGCTGTCCCAAGAATACCAACCTAACTTGTCAATTGAAATTTTTTTCGTTTTCCCTAACCTCTCTGTCAACTTTCTTCATGCCATATCCATTTTTTGCAGAAATTCCACTTTTTATTTGATTGAACATTCGAAACATGCTTTCGCTGTGTAGATCCTTTGGCAAGCTCCAGAATCCGAAACCCTTTTTGACATAATCAAAAGTTCAAGCTTACTTTTTATAAAATTGCTCTAATGGTCTGCAAAAAATAATAAGCCAGATCCAATTAGAAGATTAAGGAACAATGCAATCTGCAACAACTTCTAACTGAAATAGATAATTAGATAATTTTAGCCTAGCTTATACCGTCCGTTATACACTAAATGTGCATGTGTAAATGTATTATGTGCATTATTCGAGCATAAAAGTACTCATGAAACACAAACACTAAGATTTAATGGACTGTAGCTTTATTTCTTTTAACGTCTGTTTGGATGGACACTCTTGCCATCACATAGGTGCACCTCCCAGCTCGCAATCAAACATAATAATAATGGCCGCTAGCTAACCACGTTGTCGTTTTCTCCCATCGTGGTTGCCAGATCACTTCTGCCTTAACATACCGCCCGGGTTGGGCATTTGTTACATAGTTAACAATGACCAAAATTAAACAGTTTTAAATCACCATATATAGTCCAAATCATTATCAGAAAATTGAAATTGATACACATGAACAAAAGCAATAAACATAATTAACCCACAGAACATGAAATGCACAACATCTAAATTAAAATACAATGCATATATAACAATTTTTTGAACTCGGGAAAATATACATGAAATTATGTAACATCTACTGGTAGTACAGCTAATTTAGTTATTGGTCTTTTAAAAAAAACCTGACTTGGTTCTTACAATACAAACTCTAACCTTTTATCCTTACCATAAATTACCTCTCTATTATTTACCCGTAACCAAGTCGAAGTGGGCATGTTGTCTTCCTTTACTAAAACTATAGTGCCCTTTTTAACGTTATCCTTAGAGAAATACCACTTAAATCGTTGCTGTAAATGACTGATGTAATCATTTTGCCATCTTTTCCACAAATATTGCGTTACTTTAGTAGTGCGCTGCCAGCGCTTTAAAGAACTATCAGAAAAATCAGTTAAATCAGGCTCTGTTATTGATGTTAAAGGTCGCCTGACTAGAAAGTGTGCGGGCGTAAGAGCTTCTAAATCATTGGTGTCATTTGACAAAGGGGATATTGGACATGAATTTAAAATTCCTTCAATCTGGTTCAAAATTGTAAGAAATTCCTCAAATGTAAAAATCAATCGCCCAACTGCACGCTTAAGATAAAACTTAAACGACTTAACACCTGCCTCCCAGATACTTCCAAAGTGAGGAGCCCTGGGAGGGATAAACTTCCAATGAATTCTTTCAAATGTCAGATATTTGGTTAAGAATTCATCAGGGTATTTCAACAAAATTGTAGAGTCGCTTCAATTCATGCTAGCCCCAACAAAATTTCGAGCGTTATCGCTAAATAAGGTTGCGCATTTACCCCTTCTAGAAATAAATCGCTTCAAAGCAGCAATAAATGATTTTGTAGACAAATTTGAAACGATCTTGAGGTGGACTGCACGAGTCAAGAGGCAAAACAAAAATTGCAACATAAATTGTGCACTACGCTCTTCTTTTGAGTTGTATACTTTATACCAAAAGGACCACAAAAGTCAAACACCAGTATGGTTAAAGGGAAAGGATGGATTCAGTCTCTCTAATGGTAAATTTCCCATCTTTGATCCAGCAATACTGGTTTTACTTTGGCACACGTAACACATTCTCTTACTATCTTTCTAGCAAGATTACGCCCACTTATCGGCCAAAATTTTTGTCTCACACTATGCAAGAGCGCTTGTGCTCCAATATGAAAGTTTCGAATATGGTAGTGTAAAGGTAACATAATTAAATGAGTCAGTTATGATTTTTTGGCAGGACAGCAGGGTGCTTTGCGTTAAAGGGTAAGTTAGCTTCCTGCAGTCTACCACCTACTCTAATAACTTGAGATTCATCTAAAAAGGGACATAAAATTTTAACTGACTATTTTTACATACTTCCCTTCTCTTACTTAAGTTCTTGAATTCTTCAGGAAAGCAATTTATTTTCGCTTAACGAAACCTCATCTACTGTCAGATGACCTACTTGTTTTTCCTTGGATCTACAATTTCTTATAAATCTTAAAACATAAGCAAAAACATTAATTAATTTAGCATAACAATTAGTAATACTAAAAACATAATCCAAAAGAGAATTTTAACAGTTACGGTCAATTTACATTAGAAATAGTTTTCAGTTCGCGCACATAGTTCTCATTTGAATTTTCAAAGTTATTATTAACACTATAATTGATGACCTGTTGATGCAGAAAATTTGGTCCTTGAAAACCACAAAAGAGTTGTCAGCAATAATTTCCGGTCTCAGACCGCGAGAAATTAGGTCAGCGGGATTGTCTGCTGTTCTGACATGTTGCCAGCAGAAATCCTTAGTTAGCTCTTGATACGAGCTACTCTATTTGACACAAACACTTTTAGAAGATGAGGAGATGTAGCAATCCAAGCTAACACAATTGTTGAATCTGTGTACAGAATAACTTTGTCAACATATAAACTCAAAGATGTATTACCTTACACACAAGTTTGGAAAGGAGCTCTGCTGCACACAACTCCGACGAGGAATGTTATTACCTTGATAGGCGATACTCGAGATTTGCTGGCAAAGTAAAGTCACTTTAACTTCGCCAATTTTAGAGACACAGCGCAAGTAAATTACTCCACCATATCCAAACTTTGAAGCATCAGCAAAACAGTGGAGTCAATTTCTTTAATTGATTCTATTAGAGTGCAACGAGGTACTTTGATTTGTTTCAACTCTGGTAGGGCCTTTTGAAATGTCTCCCATTCTTGTTTGCTCTTTGAAAGGAAGTGGATCATCCCACTCTAGATGTAAAAAACCACAGCCTTTGCAGGAATATCTTAGCATGCTGATTACAGGCCCTAGGAAACCTACAGGATCAAACAGTTAGCATTATCTGCCAAACCGTGAGTTTTGTACAGATTTTTGGCGAACTAGACACAGTAAAACTAGAGTCTTCTTCTGGATTCCATCTTAACCCAGAGTCTTACGGTGCTTTGTGAAGACTCTCCAAAACGATACTCTGTTTTCGAATGGAACTTGTTCTAAAAGAATTTTTTGTTTGAGCACCACTTGTGCAATTCCATTTTCGCAGATTGTAGCATGTCTATTAACTGCCGCTGCATTCTACAGCAGAGGTGACATTTTCTGCACAAGACAAAATGTCATCAACATAAAAATCGTTTTGAGTGTCGTTTTAGAAGCCAATGGATACTTATCTTTTTCATCTAAGGCTAATTGCTTCAACACTCTTGTTGCTAAAAAAGCGCTGATTTTGTTCCATATGTTACCGTAAGTAATTGATAAGTTTAGATGCATCATTCAACATATTTTTCCAAAGTATGCATTGAAGTTTGCGTTGCTCAGGATTCTATACGAATCTGCCGATACATCTTGCATATATCAGCAGTGAAAGCCACCTTGTGTTTTCTAAATCGTAGCAA